ACTGCACGGCGTGGGCTCCCAGATTGCTCCTGCATACTGGGAGGCGTGGAATACAGCACGGTTGGTGCTGGCCAATCTGGCTGTGCAATCCCTGCGATACAGAACAAGGCCTTGCCCAGGTGTCTACAGGACTGGGCCTGGTCCCAGGAGCTTGGTCTCCATTTCCCTGTATCAAGCAGCTCTTCTAGGTTTGTGGTTTCAGGGAATCCGCAAAGCTCCCTCTGCTGCCCCGAGGCCTGCGCTGGTCACCCCCACAATGCTGCTGACCTTTCCAGTTACAAAGTCAGGGCAGAAACCAACATTAGCTTGCCCACTGCCTGCTCAGGGTGCTTGGCACCCAGTGCGTGTGCCAGATCTGTCACATGCTCAACCAAGCAGCCTTCACAGCTGTGTTGGCCTGGTCTGCCTGCCGCTGAGCCTCCCTCTGGACTGTAACACGCCAGCCTCGCTCTGCTCTGCCAGGCCTGGGCGCTCTGCAGACTTTACCTGGCAGGGAACAAAATGCTTCTCCGAGGCAGATGTGGCACCAGTCCTGACTCAGAAACCAGTTCTGCTTCAGGTATGGGGGCAGGCACAGCGCCAAGGCAGACAGTGAGTTCCTGGGCCACAGCCCCATCCCGTACATGCACAAATACTGTCAGAGCACCTGCATGGTCCTGCGTGATGCCAGCTGCCCCTGTACCCATGGTGGTTGCTGAGGTCCCTCCACCTGCCCTGCTAGCAGTTGCACCAACCCGTTGTGCCTGTGTACTGTGGGGCTGTGAAACTGCAATCCAGGGATCACTGAAGCACCAGGACCTGGCATGGCAGGTGTCAGTCTGTAGCTGTGTCAGAGCTGGCACAGTGCCTGCGTGCAGAGTCCTTCTGCGTTTATAGTGTCCAAGAGGAGACCGACCCCCAACCAGCAGCAGCAGCAGCTATTAGCCATGCAGCCCCGACCCCACTCCAAGCTCCCCCTACCCACCTCCTCCACAGACACTCCAGCATGGTGGCAGATGCCCTTGCCAGCTCTCACATGGTCCGTGCTGTGCCCAGGAGGTGAGCTTTACAGACATCCTACACCTGCCTGGACTGGCCTCCCTGCTTCCTGAAGCTCTGCTACACCCGAGCTTCTCCTGCCTACAGCCCAGGACTCCGATCCCCCAGCCAGGGCACTGCATACCAGTGCTCAGAGACGCGTATGAGCTGCTGGCACAGCTCCTTGCACTCAGTCCTGCCAGGCAGCATGCCCATGGTGCTAGGCCCTCAGCATCCTTGGCCATCTCCACAAGATCCCTCAGCAAAGCCAGGCAGCCTGCCACGCACAGCCCCTGCATCAGTCTAATCAGGTGCAAACCCCCGTCCTTTCATCCACACAAGAGTTTACATGGACTTTCCCTTCTCTTTCTGCACCCAGCCCAGCCCCTCAGGATGTCACGATGAACACCCATCTCATCTACCTAGTCCTTTGGCTGCCCTGTTCAGGGTCATGCAACTGCTCATGTAAACACTTCTCTAGACCTGCGTGGAAACACCAGTTTCTGGAGCCTGTTAGCATGGAGCCAAAATTATAGGCTACGGCTCTCCCCATTCCTTTCTTTCCCTCTGAATTAAAGACCATCCCCGGAAGACTCTCACTTCAAAGCCCAGCCAAGCACCTTCTAATATCATGCAAAGGGCCTGAAGAATAAATTGCTCTCATCAGAAATAAAGCATTTTAGTTTTGTCACAAGCAAGAAGATCTGTGTTTATATGTCGCTCCAAAGGCAGCTCCATCTTTACGCTCCTTTTCTTTTGATGCACAAACCTGCATACCGCAGTGCTGTGATTGGACTTGGCTCTGGAGCCGTGCAAGTGTAAATATTCATTGGAATCCAAGATCGTTCCCCCAGCCTCTCCTCAAGGCTCTGCGGCTGTGCAAACAGCCGTGGCTCCACGACCACCGCAGCCTGGAGGATGCCTGTTCCTCCGCAGCCTGCGGACTCCTCCTTTACAGAGGCAGACATCGGGAGCCAGCCCTGCAGGCCATTTCCGCCAGCAGCAACATTGTTTGTTCCCTCGGCAATCGTCCATGTTTCGCAGTACGAGTGACAGGTCCCCGACTATAGCTACCCCGTGCCACAACCATGCTTCACACACAGCTGCCAACGACTCCTGCAGACACACACAGACTGCCTGGCCCTAGCTTTGAAGCCACGTCCCCAGGCAAACTCACCCCATCCCCCAAGACATGGTATGTCTAAATGCGCTCCACTCTGCCCTCCCATTCAGTGTGCCCACAAGTACAAGTCCTTATAGACATCACATGTGCCCTTCTGCCCACTGGCTCCGGAGTGCGCAACATGCGTGCGTTCATGTGCATTTCCCACTGACCCACCCAGAGCTCAGGAGTGCGCGCACACACACTGCACCTCCCAGGCACAAGCAGCTCAGTGCAGTTGCACTGTGCTCACCTCTGCCATGCAAGGTGCTAAGATGACCCCAGCACGGCAGAAAGGTGTGAGCTGACAAGATGCGATGCGCAGACTCATCCATTACCTGTTGCTCTGAGCCTTTACTAAAAGCAGGCAGCTCTGTCTGAGCAGCCTCTAGAAGAACCGCAGACATGCACAAAAGGCTGCCTGGGGCTGGCAGGGGCCAGTCTCCCACAGCTCACCCTGCTGGTGGTGCTGCAGCCAACAGGCACAGGTGAGAGGCCATCCAGCCCATGGGACACCTGGCTCAGCCCTACCTTGGCCCTGCCCGTCTGTGGCCATGTGCCGGGCAGATGGTAGCTCTTTCTGCTGCTTCCCTGGGTGGTCTTTCACCAAAGGCTTGGAGCAAAAGGCGTGACTGGGCGTGCGTGCAGGAGTTGGCACGCAGCTCCTTGGCTGGGAACTGAACCAGGAGTCCTGACAGCAGATCTGCACTTGCATCTTGGCCTGGGCTCTCCTTATCTCTGTGGCCAGGGGCAGAAGCACATGGCTTGCTCCGGAGCCCCAGGCACAAGCAGCATATGTTGTGCAGATGTGCCGCCTCCCCACGCCAGCCCACTGAGGCTGCTTGCATGTTTATGCTGCTGTCAGTAGCATCTCTGCTCCTTGCTGGGTTTCACCACATCCTGAGGCCGATGCCCGGACTCTCACGTGCCTCATTACTAGAGACCTGGGAGCACCAGAAGCCACCACCATGCCATGTCGTGCACAGCTCCCCGTGGCCAGGAAGGCGGAGGAAGAGTGCTGTAAGAAGTCAACTAAGGACCAGCTTCCCTGGGGAAAGCAGCACGGTGGTACTACGGTGTGGGGACAAGGACGTCACAGCCAGCCCAGGGGCCAATGGTGGTGTGTCAGAAAGCCAGCAGCAGCAGAGTCGGGACAGGCACTGGAAACAAAACAGCATCCCCACGCGGGGACCAGCAGAGCAACCCCTCAGGTTTGGGCACATGTTCCCTCCTGGGGGGACCCAGCCCTGCAGTCCAGGCCTCCCAGGTGCAGGCCCCTCTTCTGCAGCGCTACCGCTGTGCAGGTCTGCTGCTCAGAGAGAAGTATTCACACATTCCTGCGCTGGCTGGTGTATCTCCTGGGCCCTGACCAACGCGAGCGGCACGTCAAGCCACAGGGCCAAGCAAGGAGCGATTCTACCGCTCCAGAACACCAGGCCTCCTGCCAACCGACCACAGCCATGTCTGCTTTACAGCCCTGTGTCAGAGGCTCAAATTCATTTGGCTGCAGGCTACGATGTGTGGTGCAATCCACCTGCTACCTTCACGGTGCTGATTTGCAGCCATATGGGCCTAGCATGACCCAAGCATGTGATGTAGCAGGGAAATCATCCTCCACAGACCCAGACAAGCCAAGAAAAGGCAGAAAGGCAGTGAGCAGGGTCCAGAGGATGGCCACTCGCATGGTCAGAGGGCAGCAGGGCAGGCCCTACGAGGAGAGGCCGAGGGACCTGAACATGTTTAGCCTCCACAGGAGAAGGCTGAGGGGGGATCTGGTGACTGTCTACAAACTGGCCAAGAGGGACCAGCAGCACTACCAGGGGTAACAAGGAACAACGATCACAAGCTGGCAGAGGGTAGACTCAGACTAGACATCAGGAGGCGCTACTTCACAGTCAGGGCGGCTAGGATCTGGAACCAACTTCCAAGAGAAGTGGTGCTGGCTTCTACCCTGGGGGTCTTCAAAAGGAGGCTGGATAATCACCTAGCCGGGGTCATTTGACCCCAGTACTCTTTCCTGCCCATGGCCGGGGGTCGGACTTGATGATCTGCTCAGGTCCCTTCCGACCTGACCAACTACGAAACTATGAGCAGTGGCAGGCTGCTATGGTCTTTCAAGAGCATTCATGAGTCCAGTGAGATACTTGGGTGCCAGCAGTGGGAAAGAAGGAACTCGCTGCCCCTGCCTGTAAGTTTGCAAGGCATTGTAGGGGACCAGACAGGACCAGCCTTGTGGGGAGAAGCCCTTCAGGAAGCGAAGGCATGGGGCTACTTTCTGCATAGAAAGCAGCAGCAACTGAAGAAGTGCAGCCGTTCCTGGGGAGCAGGCTGGGAGTCAGGAGCTCCAGGCATCAATGAGGGCTCGGCGTCTCATACGAGCCCCTGGACCTTGCCTTCTGGAGTTGAAATGGGGGTCAAGTTCCTCTCCTTCCCCTGCTGACACCGACACAGGCACAGAGCACAAGAACTGGGGAGGGATGCAGTGGCAGTGACACGAGGACCACTGGAGGAGGAAAACCCCTGACTGCGCTCGACTGGAACCTGCTAAGCTTGGCTGCCCATGGCAGTCCCCTTGGTCCGTCACTGGGCCAGGGCAGGCACACAGGCAAAGCTGTGAGGGGGAAGCCAGATCTCTCCCTCTGGATTGGTGAGTTTGTGGGTCACGGGCACCAGAAAGGATGAGTGCCCACCTCCTTGTGAGCAAGATGGGCCATCTGGCTGACACTGCAGAGTGAGTATGTGGCCCCAGTGGGGGAGTGCTGGGAGACTGGTGCTTGCCAGTTGGGCCTGCAAGCTTGGGAGGATGCTGCATGCTTCTTACCAGCTGGCTGGCATCCTGCAGCTCTGTCTGCAGCCTGTGCATTGCAGCCTCTTTCTTCCGCAGCTCGTCCTGCAGCCCAGCCACCCTTTGCTGCAGCAACACCTGCTCTGCTGCCTGCTCCTCCCACTCACGCACTGCTGCCTCACGGGAGACGCGCTCCCTGGCACGCTCACTGCTCCTCAGGCTGGCCACCCAATCCTCCACCTGGCGAGAGACACACGGCTCACTGCAGGGAAGTGCAGCCCACCCAGCCCAGCCTCCTCTGCCTATGTGGCGCTGTCCACAATGCAGTGCTGCATGCTGTAAATGCGGTGGCAGTGGCTACGCCAAGGTCTGTGGCACCCCCGTCCAACTGTGCAGCCTCCATGGCTGCGAGGGCAGCAGAAGCAGAGACAGCCTGTGGGCACCAAAGACCCAACTAACCGCTCTTACCACTGCGGCATGGGCCGTGGGCACCGTGGAGGGGACAGGTTGTGTGTTATTTCCCTTCCAACGCAGTTCGCAAGCATGGAGCAATTGCCTGAGGCACAGGAAGGGACATGGGAATCATAAGGCAGTCAGCATGCCTGGGCTCCTGGACCCTGGGGAACTGTCCTGGCCACTCCAGTGCCTGGCTGCCATGGGCTCCGAGGCACGATGGATGGCTAGGGCTGCAGCCTGATGGGAGCCACACCCAGGCGCAGTTCCTGGGAGCAGAAGTCCCCCCACTCCCTCCCTAGTGGGAGCTGGAAACTCAGTCCTCTCTGGGTAGCACCCGTGCGGAACGGCCATCCATTTCCCCTGCCTGGAGGGAGAGTCCCTGGAAGCCCCAGCTCCGGTGATTTATCCGGGTCACAGCGAGAACAGGCGGCTAACTGAGGTTAACAGCTTTCTCAGCTCCATTTCAGAGAGACATTAGCATGGGGGCTACATTCACACAGATGTGCCACGCAGGGAGCCGCTGGCTGGGAGAGCTTGCCATCAGGCAGGAGGGACCCATCTGACAGGCAGGGCTGAGCAGCCGGCCCTCCTGTAAAGGGTAGGCCCATAACTCATGCTTCTGGTGCTAAATTACGCTGACAGAGCTCCACAGCAGATGCCCTGTGGCAGCCTCCAGGGACTGCTGGTCCCTAGAGCTTGCAAATGTTACAGACATGGAGGTGCTGCTCCTCCAGGCTCCCTCACTGTCTCCCTTTTCTCTTCAAGTCTCCTATCCTTCAAATTCCCATTCTCTGCTCCTCATTCCCTGCCTCTCAGCAAGAAAACCACTGAAAAAACCAAAAAGTATCACAAGTCATGATGAAACCTCATGATCTGACAGAGTAGTAGTAGTAACACTGAAAGGGGTCCTGGTAGGACAGAGAAGAGGATGCATCTGGGATTCAGAATGACCTTAATAAACAGGCAAAATGGTCCCAGGTTGAATGAATGAAATCTGGTGAGGACAAATGCAAAGTCCTGCATGCTTTGGATGGAACAATTGTGGGCACAAGTACGAAGTGGGGAACAACTGGAGAGGCTGACGAACTGCACGCAAAGTCCCTGGGGTCACAGCTGATCACAGACTCAGCAGGACTCAAGAAACTTATTGCAAAAGCCAATAGTATAGTGGGCTGTATCAACTGAGCATCATCCGAAAGTGAAGGAAAACAATTCTTCTGCTCTATTCAGCACTGAGGCCTGCCCTGGAAAACTGTGTTGTGTTTTGGGCTCTGCACTTCAAGAACTGTGGAAAGATTAGAAAGACTTCAGCAGAATGAGAAAAGTCAGAGGCCTAGAAAACATGACCTACAGGAAAAGCCTGGAAGAGCTGGGGATGCGGACACGTGGGAGAAGGCTCAGAAGAACCTCAAGAAGGACGGTAAACCTGTGATAAAGCAAGGCCCCAGGAGCTTGATTTATGTAGCTTAGGGTCAAGGCAGGACTGGCTGACAGTGTATGAAACCCTACGCAGGGACAGACTCAGGAGCAGAGGACTCACCTGCCTGGCAGATAAAAGATCTACAAGGACCTGACCAGGGGCTGCAGAAACAAGACAAATGCAGCAAAGAAGAGGTGCACATGTTAACAGCAAGAGGAATTCACCATGCAGATCACATATGCAGGCCTGTGCTGGTGCTGCACTGGAAACGTTTGAATCCAGACAGGATGCTCTTCTAGAAGACCTGTTCCAGCTCAGTCAGGACTCAGTCCAAGGCAGGCCTATGGCTGGCGTTCTGTGGGAGGTCTGAAGAGAGGATCTCTGGCTTTATCGCCCCTGAATCCACGTACCAGTGATGGCCATCCCATGGCTGGCCTCAGGCTGAAGCTAAGCCTCAACTCTACAATCGTTCTTTTCTCCTTTAGGTAGATTGGCACCACATCTGCTTTCTCGGTGCCTGGGAGCCCATTCCAGACTTTGAGCGCAGCTGCCAGGAGTTGGCGAGCTGTGTCAGCTGGGCCCCTGACGGGGCAGGTGCAGCTCCCCTGACCAGCCTCACACCTGTTTTCCCATGGTGTCTGCTGCTTTCCCATACCTCGTCCTAGCGCTCAAGATGCCTCACCTCCAGCAGCTGCTCTCACTGGTGGGCTCTGAGGGCCTCGTTCTCTCCTTCCACCTGAGCCAGGCGCACATTACACTCCGCAAGCTGAGGAAAAAGGCAAACACGACGTGAGCCAATATGACAGGTGTTCAGCTCTGCCCAAGGACTCTGAACAACACAGCACGCATGCAAGCCTGCAGCCAGGGTGCCTCTCCTGTGTCCTGAGGGGCCTGGACCCCAAAGGCTGGGCCTGGACCTGCATTTGCCAGCAGACAGGAGCAAGGAGCCCTGCCTGCCTCTGCTCTGATGCCCCAGTGAAGGGGACATCAGGACTGGGCTGGGGTCACGCCAGTGCTAGCTGCAGGCATCCTTTACATGTTGGCAGCAGACGCAGGAGGAAGCCAGCCCAGGCATTGCACAGCCACAGGGGGACGTGGCCCTGGCTGGAAAGAGCCGAGGAGCAGGAGCCTTGGGGAATGAGGACGGGACAGCGGGGATTTCCTGGGTCCAGCGCTGTCTGGCAGCAGATCCCAGACACAGGGCCAGCGTGGTCTGGCTGGGATCGCCAGAAGGCCTGGGCTGCCCGTCACCTTTCAGCCACAGGACATTCCACCTCCAGCTGCTCGCTCCTCTGTCCCGGTCAATTATGCAAATGGAAAAATTCAATATCCTGCCTGCCAGTTGGGAGCCTGATAATACCAGGTTCTGGGAACCGGCCCGTCAGTTGGAACCGCTGGCTGCAGGCTTCACCTGCACACACAGGAGCCAGACTGGGCTCGCCCGCAACATCTGGGAGCCCCAAGGAGAAAGGGCAAGACAGTGCAGTGACCGGGCACAACATAGATGCACAATTAGCGGCACCCTTACAAAGAGACACCAGCAAGACACACTAGGCAAGGGAACACATGCGCTCAGACTTGCCTCCCTTCACATGGAAGCAGACACAGACAAATGCACACAACACCCACAACAATGGCCACCTTGTGAGCAGGTTGACTACATGCAGCTCCACCCACATCCTGCACACGTGTGCGCGCACACACACACACACCACACCACACCCCCCCCAAACGTTGAATGACTCAAAAGCAAGATGACCAACATGCAGCGAGACTCCAAGGCAACCGCAGCACTGCAGCACCAACCAGCTGTGCAAAACCCAAACTAAACCCATCCTGCGGCCGTGTGAAAACAAAATGCATTCCCACTCTGCCATGCTGCCTTTGCCCTGGACCACCCCTGCCTAGCGGAGCATTCTCCCTGGCCGGTGTGCTGGGACCTTGCAGTCTGTTTCCAGTGATGTTTCAACCTCTGATATCCTGAGACTATTTCATGACCCGTTTGCTTAGGCTGGTGGGCATTGCTGAGTGAGGAAGGGCACAGGGTTATATATGTAGGTGCAACAGCAGCACTGGCAGGGATTAGTGGCACCAGTAGCTGCTGTGCCAAAGAGCCTGCTTACTGTATGGACCCAAACAAAAGCCATGGTCAAAATCCCATTGCAACTCCCGATGCCGGCAGGGATAGCACACAGGGAGCCTGGCTGGATGGGCACTGGGGAGGCAGGGCTTCCCGCCCAGCCAGGCGCGCACCATCTAAGCGATCGGGTGGCTCCAGGTGGACTCTGAAGCCGATGCCTGAAAACAGAGGATCTGCAGCAGGGCAGAAGCTAGAGCCACACATGAAGGAGGAGAGGCAAATCCCGGACACTGACACGGACTGTCACAGGGAGGCCCCTGGTCAGGGCTGCAGTCGGCCAGTTCAGTCCTGGTCTCCCTGGGGAGCACAGATCGATACATCTGAATGAGCCTCATCTCCTGGCAAACACTTAGCACTGTTATCACCAATTAAGACGGCTTTGCCCCAGGATGATGCAGTCCTGCCCCATCCTCCACAGGGCTGCCCTGGTGCTCTCCCTGGGAGGGGCTCAGCAGCAGGGTGCAGGGATCAATACCCAGGACATCTGCTCGATCACAGTGGCTACACCCAGGACCGGCAGCTAGCAAGAGAGCACATATCTGAAGCCAGCAGCGCCATGGAGCCTCCCCTCGTTTTCCTGTGCCTCACCTTCCTCGCTGGGAGCTGCCAGGCTCCACTGCCAGGTCCTCAGCCCTTCCTCACACTACTTGCTTTAAATGAACATAGGTCCAGGCTCCTAATGCATTAAATGAAGTCCCAGCCAGGCCCACGATGCTGGCACTGGAGCTGGAGCAAAGCAGAGCCTTCCCTTACCTGCCTCTGAGACTCATCCTGTAGCTGGCGGCTGGCCTCCACATCTTGTTCGAGCTGCTGGATCTGGCTGTGCTTCTGCTCCAGTTCTGCCTGCCTCTCCCTCTGCTTGGTCTGCAGTTGATAGATCCTCTGCTCTTGAGCATCCAGCTATTGACCCGCCCAGGGAAAGAAAGAAAAAATGGAAAAAAAAATCAATTAATACTAAACGGCTTAACAAAACCCCGAATAGCACAGGCCCGATGCTGCTGGGGGTGGGGATTGTCAGGAGGAGAAACACCCCCGCCCACTGCTAAAACCTGATGTTCTGGGGACAGGAAGCCAATATGGTAGGTGTGATCTGACAGGCACGCCAGCAGCAGCACTGACACGTCCCAGGCAGGGAGGCTGCAGACGTGCCGTCTGGGGCACCTGCCATCGGCGCTGCGTCTCGGGGAGGCTTTGCAGAGCGTGGGCAGGGCAATACACACCAGGTTCTTTTGATTTAACACCACACAGCAGCTGGCTCCCTCCTGGCACGGGCTTGTGCTGCAGCACCAGGCTACTCTGCCCTGCACCGGCAGCCCTCCCAGCATTCTCCGCTGGTACCACCTGCCCAGAGAGGACAGAGATGGGAGCCACGTACCTCGGCTGCAAGGCCGTCCCCTTTGTCCTGCTGGAGCAAAAGCTGGTTCTGGAGGCTCTGGATTTTTGCATTTCGATGTTCCAGCTGAAGAGTTTACATGGGGAGGGAGCAAGCAAGGGTGGTGAATGTCAGCCACTGAGCAATTAGCATGACAAGACTAAAGTATTGATCTGCCACAGCTATCTGTGCTGCTGCAGCCCCAAAGGGGGGGCAGGTCCCTGGCACTAACCCAGTGTCTCACAGCTACCATTGCCTTGCTGTGGCCAGGCAAGAACGTGCAGAGGGCCGCAGCACTGGTGGCTTGGTCCATGAGGGCCTGGAGAGACAGGAGACTGGGACAGGGAGGCAGCAGATCCTGCTGGTCACACCTGCTGTTGTGCTGGGGCTCATTTCTAGGCCACGTGGCTGTGATGGGGCACATGGCCCATCACCTCCGTTTTCTTGTGCAGGGACCGGGACTTCCCTGCTGTGATAGAAGCCGGACTCGAGGGGATTGCCTTCCGACCTCAGGTTGGGGAGGACCGGGTTAGAGAGCTTCTGGAGGGGCTGGACGCATTCAAGTCAGCGGGTCCGGATGATCTCCACCCCAGGGTGTTGAGGGAGCTAGCTGGGGTTATTGCGGGGCCCCTGGCACGGCTCTATGAGCGATCGTGGTGCTTGGGCCAGGTGCCAGATGATTGGAAGGTAGCAAATGTGGTCCCCATCTTCAAGAAGGGGAAGAGGGAGGACCCGGGTAACTATAGGCC